AAAATCTTTTATTTTTGTAATTTATGTATTTGGTGCAGGGTCTTGTTGCACAGCTAGCACTCTGAGTAATCCTCTTGTCTCAGCCTCCCCAGTGTTGGGATTACAGGGCTGTGACCCAGGTCCTTATGCTTGCCAGGCAGGCACTTAGACTGCCGAGTGATACCCCAGCCTCGCTTGCTAGAAATTTTAGACTCTAAATTCGTGTGTAATAGTCCTCCTACTTGTGGATACTGATAATAGTAGAAAGCAGGTGAATTGATTGGCCTAGAATAAAGTATTCATTCTAGGCTAGTGACTTTTTTTTTTAAAGATAGGGTTATACTCTGTAGTTCAGGCTGGCTTTGAACTCACTGTGGAGACCAGGCTGGCCTCATACTTGTAGCAGTCCTCCTTCACATTGCAAAGTGCTGGGAGCTAGTGACTGTTTTTAAGGCTTGGGTTATTTGAATTAGTGGTGATACTTGGTTACTGATCATGGAAGATTTCTGTTAACCTTTGTTATTGCAATTGAACAAAATCGAAAACTAAACATGCTCAGGGCATTTAAATCAATATCAGCTTTACATCACACCAAATTGTTTCATTGCTTAAACTTAACTCTCTTGAGATAGCAAAGAATCAAGTTTTACAGCCTGGTGATCATCCAGTGGTTGATAGAAAATACCTTAGAGGACTGCCTGCTTGCCCTGGAATGTAGACAGATTGTGTATACTTTCTTTTCCCACTTAATAAGAATTCTGTTTTTGTGTATGTTGTTTTTCTACCAACATGAAATTCTTTGAAGAATTGTTCACACTATGCCTTTTAGAGAAATAAGTAAATAAATAACTTTATTTAGTCATACTGAGGATTTAAATCTAGGGCATTCACACTGCTAGTTCAACCTTGGAAAGCGCTGAGATTATGGGCATGTGCCCTGTGCCTTGTAAGAATTTTATTTTTCTTAAATGAACAGCATATTGCTTTGAAATAATTTTCAAATTAACTTTATATTGGGGAATCTCTGGTTGAAGTAGATTTCATCCTTAGAGCTTTTTTTTCCCTCCACTTATGTACTTTGTCTCACCATGCAGCTTGGACTTGTAGTGATCCTCCTGTTTTTAGCCTCCCCAGGGGTGCTGGGATTACAGATGTGCCACCACACCCAGACTCAGGCCCAGCTTGGGCCCCCCATGGGTGGAGGGGCAGAGTACACAGGACTGGGGATGGAACCCTGGTCCCTGTGCTTGCTAAAGCAGGCACTTAGTCCACTGAGCTATCTTGCTGGCCCTAGAACATTTATGTATCTATTATTTGATATAGGGTCTGGCTACACAGTTCAGACTTGTAGTGATCTTCCTGTCTCAGCCTCCGCAGCATTGGGGTTGTAGGTGTGCATATCACCACACTAGTTTCAGGGCGGGCATGGCATACAGTACTGAGGATTGAACTTGGGACCTTGCGCTTGCCAGGCAGATACTTATGCCACCAAGCTATTTCCCCTTGTGCTTTTTAAGAGATCTGTGTTTTGTTTTGTTTTGGTTTTTGGTACGTCACGTTTTGTCTTCCTTTCTAGCATCTTCAGTTTAGTGCTGTAAGTCTACAGTAGGAAAGAAAACAAAGAGATAGAATATAGGTGTAGGCCACAAACAACCCAGTTACTAGTTAAACCAGTAGGAAGCACAGTCAGTTTCTGGGAGCATTGTATGGATTTAGGTGGGTGAGATGATTTAATAAACATGTCATTGTTGAAAGGTCATAATTCTTTGTTATAGACCCCACCTGGTTGCCAGAAAGTAATACGTACATAGGGGAGGGAGAAAAGTGACAGGTTCTTGGAAATTGCCAGGTTTTGAGATAGACTTGTATAAATTTTAAAAGCTGTGTTTAGAATAGTTTCCCAGGTTCCTGGTGCAGATTTAGCTCTAGGGTTATTGTATTTTATAAATTGAAGCTATTGTGAGCATCAAATGGTATCTACGTATTGTGGAACAAACTTGAAGTTTGTCGTAGCAAAGAACTGCCAAGTTCTAGGTGGATTATTTATTTATTGAGATACAGTCTGGCTATGTAGTACAGACTGGTCTTAAATTCACTATGTAGTCTAGGCTTGCCTCTGACTTGAAACAGTGGAAACTTCCTGCCTCAGTGTCCCAAGTGCAGGGATTACAGGTGGTTGCCACTACTCCTGGGTTGGATATTTAATCTTTTTTAAAAAATTACTATATTGTTAGCTGAGTGTGGGGGTATACACCTATAATCCCAGCACTCAGGAGGCTGAGGCAGGATTGAAGGCCAACAACCTGGGCTACATACTAAGTTCAAGGCCAGCCTCAACAACGTAGCAAAATGTTATTTCAATAAAATATTTTTTTCAACAAAATATTTAAATATTAGTACTCTTGTTGATTTAGTCTTTTTGAAACAGGGTTTCACTATGCAGTTCGGGCTGGTTTGAATTTATAGCAGTCTTCCTGTCTCAGCCTCCTGAATCGTGAGATTACAGGTGTGTGCCACCATGGCTGGCCTTACTGTATTATTTTAGTAAACCATTCTTTAGAACACTTTTGTTTTGTTTTTTTTTTTTTTTTTTTTTTTTTTTCTTCTGTAGTTTAGGGAAGGGTCTACAGGTTGTTCAGGGTCTCACTACTAGATTGGACTTGTAGTGGATTCTCCTGTTCACAGCTTCTCAAGTGCTGGGATTACAGGCACGTGCCACCACGCCCAGTCTCAATTGCGGCTCAGTGAGCCCTGGGGACAGACGAGGCTGGCACAGCAGGCCAGGAGCCCCTGCCACTGTGTCTGCTTGCAGGTGCTTTAATCCGCTGAGCTATTTTGCCAGCCCTTGATTTTTTTTTTTTTTTTTAATGATATGATTTTGTTGTAATTTTACTTTTGGTTATTGAACTAGGGCCATGGATGTGTTCTACCATTGAGCTATTCCCCCAGCCGTATATTTACTTTTTTTTTAAGCTTAAAATCTTTTTCCTGTGTGTATAAAAATATACATAAGCTTTGACATTTTTTGTTTAATTTAATGACATTAGGTATAGTCACGTTATGTATAACCATCACCATTCTGTCTTGATTTTTTTTTTTCTTTTTTTTTTAAATGTATTTAGTACCGGGTCTCACAACACAGATCGGACTTGTAGTGATCCTTCCTGTATTTCAGCTTCCCAAGTGCTAGGATTATAGGTGTGGGCCACCATGCCCAGACTCATTTGCCATCTCTGCACACCCTGGGGGTGGGGCCAGCAGGCAGGGGATTGAACCCCAGGCCCTTGTGCCTGCCTAAGCAGGCACTTTAATACAGAGCCATCTGGCTGGCCCTCTAGAACTTGTTTATCATTCTAAATAGGAATTCTATGTGCATTAAACAGTACCTTCTCATTTCTCCCCTTTCCAAACCCCAGTAGTCTTTACAATTTTCTGGTTCTTGAATTAGCTTGTTTTGCTTTATTCTGTTCTGTTTTGTTTTGTTTGAGACATGGTCTCACTGTATAGTTCAGACTGGTCTTGAACTCCCAGCAGTCTTCCTGCCTAGATTCCTGAGTGCTAGGATTACAGGTATGTGCACCATCCCGGGCAATTAGCATATTTTTCTTAGCATAAGTTTTCCGTCCTGCAGTTTATAATGGTATATTTACACAGAGTCTATCCAAAGGGAAAAAAAATATGCAGGGAAAAGAAAAACTTGTATATAAATATTTTAGTACTAAATTTATTAAGTTAATATGAGATTAATATGATTTATCTGTGGCATGTACAATTACAGGAGGTGTTCAAAGTGGTGGCTATTAGCTTCTAGACATTTATTAATAGAGCAAGCTGCTGTTTAGGTAACTTTGTTCACTGAGATTGCTATTTGTGCCTTTTCAATTTGTTTTCTAAGAGTCAGCAGTGTGGTGGGTTTTCTGTGATACAGGAAGGGGGTCCTTATATTAGGGTAGCGCCATCTGTTGAAAAACGGTCACACTTTTTATTTTCGTGAACTATATAGATTTTTTTTTTTTGCAGACTGTATGTGTATGTATATATGTATATGTGTGTAGTCATGTTGTGCTTAACAGTGTTTGGTCAGGTTGTGCCATATTTTTGTGAAAATAGTGGTGTGATTTTTACATAGTGGTAAAATAGTGTCATTTTTCTCAAAAGCAGTCCCCCCCAGCCCCCTGCCCCTCGCGCGCCCCCCCACCACCACCGAGGATTGAAGTCATGCCCTTGCACTTGCCAGGCAAGCACTTATGCTACTGAGCTATCTCCCTGGCCCTTCAAAAGCATTATTTCTTTATTTCTTTCTTTATTTATTTTTTGCGGAACCGGGGATTGAACTCAGGCCCTTTTGCTTGCCAGGGAAGCGCTTATTCCACTGAGCCATCTCTCCGGCCCTAATTTTTTTATTTACGTGTGTGTGGCCAGCTCAGCCCACCAAGGGGCGGAGCTGGCTGGCATGTGGTGCTGGGGGATTGAACCAAGGTCCCTATGTTTTAGCTAAGCTTGTTCTAAGTAGGTGCTTTAGACCATTGAGCCATCTCACCAGCCCCCAAAAGCATTCTTATCGTTAAAAGATGCCTGGCTATATTTTGCCTGGGGAAACTTAAATTGGATTGTATCCATTTTTGAAGCACAAGGGAAAATACAGTGAGTAAAACCTACACTGAAGGCTTCTATAAATTGCTGTGTCCCTGTGCTGGGTGTGGTGGCGTGTATCTGCATTCCCACTACTCAAGAGGCTGTGGCAGGAGGATCGCTGGAAGTTTAGGCCAGTGTGGGTTCCATAGTGAGTTGAAGGTCAGCTGAACTACATAGCGAGACCATCTTGGGGGGGAATGGGTATATTCATCTGGCATGGTGGGGTACACCTGTAATCTCAGCGCTAAAGAGGGTGAGGCAGGAAGATCGTTGTGAGTTCAAGGCCAGCCTAGGTTATATAATGGGTTTCAGGCCCACATTATATACCCAGATCTTGTCTCCAAAAATGAGAAAAATTTGGTATGTTCCAGGGCCAGGACTGTAGTTGTTTGATCTTCTTTTATTTTATTTTTTTTAATTATTTATTTATTTATTACATTTATTGTGTGTGTGTGTGT